CAAGGCAATGCAGGTATAGTGGAGTATGCCTATCAGAGGACAAAGAACTTTGAGAGGTTGTCTTTTCTTTATCTCATAAATGGTAACCTGGATAAGCTGTCCAAGATGCTGAAAATCGCGGAAGTCAAGAACGATGTTATGGGCCAGTTTCACAATGCTTTATATCTCGGTGATGTCCAAGAACGTGTAAAGATCTTGGAGAATACTGGTCATTTGCCTCTTGCTTATGTTACCGCATCAGTCCATGGGCTACAGGATGTGGCCGAAAGGTTAGCTGCTGAGTTGGGAGATGATGTCCCTTCTTTGCCAGAAGGGAAAAAGCCTTCCTTATTGATGCCACCGGCACCTGTTATGTGTGGTGGTGATTGGCCCTTGTTGAGAGTAATGAAAGGCATATTTGATGGTGGGTTTGATAATATCGGTAGGAGCGCTGCGGGTGAAGAGGAAGACGGTGCAGAAGGTGATTGGGGTGAAGATCTTGATATAGTGGATGTTGATGGCGTACAGAATGGAGATGTTACTGCAATTTTGGAAGACGGGGAAGTGGGTGAAGAAAACGAAGAGGGTGGGTGGGACCTCGAAGACTTGGAACTCCCCCCTGAGGTAGAGACACCAAGGGTTTCTTCCAACGCTCGTTCTTCCGTTTTTGTGGCTCCGTCTCCTGGTATGCCTGTGAGTCAAATTTGGACACAGAGATCTTCACTTGCTGCTGATCATGCAGCGGCTGGCAATTTTGATACAGGTATGCATTTGCTGAGCAGGCAACTTGGAATTAAAAACTTTGCTCCTTTAAAATCTGTGTTTCTCGATCTCTACACTGGCAGCCATAGCTATCTCCGTGCATCTGCATCTGCTCCGGTGGTGACCTTGGCGGTCGAGAGGGGATGGAATGAGTCTGCTAGTCCTAATGTCAGGAGCCCACCAGCCCTAGTATTCAATTTTTCTCAGCTGGATGAAAAGTTGAAGGCTGGATACAAGGCCACAACAGCCGGAAAATTTACCGAGGCTCTTCGGCTTTTCCTTGGCATTCTTCATACAATTCCATTAATTGTCGTGGAGTTGAGGAGGGAAGTTGATGAAGTCAAGGAGTTAATTATCATCGCTAAGGAGTATGTTCTCGGTCTGCAGATGGAGCTTAAGCGTAGAGAGTTGAAAGACAATCCAGTACGCCAGCAGGAGCTGGCTGCCTACTTCACCCACTGCAATCTTCAGTTGCCTCATCTCAGACTCGCTCTGTTAAACGCAATGACCGTCTGCTACAAGGCAAAGAACCTGGCTACGGCAGCTAACTTCGCCAGGCGTCTTCTAGAAACAAACCCCACGAATGAGAGCCATTCAAAGACGGCAAGGCAAGTACTTCAGGCTGCCGAGAGGAACATGACCGATGCATCCCAGTTGAACTATGATTTCAGGAACCCGTTTGTCCCATGTGGAGCAACCTATGTACCGATTTACCGAGGACAGAAGGATGTATCTTGCCCTTACTGTACCACTCGTTTCGTGCCTACCCAGGAAGGACAGTTGTGTACGGTCTGTGATCTCGCCATTGTCGGAGCCGATGCTTCAGGACTTCTCTGTTCTCCATCGCAAATCCGATGATCGGGCCCATCTGCAGGTAATTTGATATCGAGTTCATTTACTTGCACCGCCTACTTTTATTTTTGCCTTTTGTTTTCCATTATAATATTCAATAAACAATTTGGGGAATTTTGGATTTTTATTCTTTCATGGACAAAACATAATCGAGAAACAAAACCTTTTCTAGGAGACGATCCACAATGCCTTAGATAATCCGAAATTTCTAAAAATATTCAAAATAAATGATTTCACTGGATCGACAACGTCATATTATCATTGTAATCAATTATGTGTGCTATTGTATATAAGAATCAGATTTTTGGTAGACATCAGCTGTCACAAATCGGTTCACATTTTTGCCATTTTCAAGATTGCTTTATTATATAAATTTTAGAGTCAAAAAAAGTTTTAAAATTTAACTTATAAAGAAATATAGGCATAATAATAAAGATGTCTCCTAATATTCGTATAAATAGTTACTTTGTTTTCTTTTTTTTTTTGAGTATTTTAGTTCTTAACGTTTATTTTTTTTGAGTAAAATGTCCTTTGGTTGGATAAAAATTATTAGTTGGCTGTTAATGTTATTTACGGACGTGATAAGTCCATGTGTAATGTTACTTTAGCAAAAAATAATTTTTAGAGTAAACTATAATTATAATTGATTATATATACACTTATAAAAATATATTTAAAAATATTTTTGACGACGTACGTGGAATTATCACATCAATAGGAAAAGTTGAGTAATCTAATGATTTCCATTCATTGAGGGGTATTTTGCTCTAAAATAAAATGTTAGGGATTAAAATACTTCAAAAAGTGATATGAGCAAAATGATCATTTATACAAATGTGAGGGTAATTTTATTATTATGCCAAAAATATAAAAGATTGCTTTATAGTTTCTTTAACCGATAACTTTGTCATGATACATGGAAATACACAATTTTATAGTTGTCTATTTAGGGAAAAAATCGTTTAATACTCTCTTAAGTTTTCTTTATTGTAAATTAATTTATAGATAAAAACAGAGTGATTTCATCTTTATACATTAAATAAATCGTATCATGTTCAAAATATACACATCGAGTAAATTATCAAAGTATTTTTTTCCAGACTTAATATAAAAATAAGTGTCTAAATTATACTCAAAATTAATTTTTGGTGTCTAAAGAATTTTTCGCTAAAAATAAGTGCCTAAAGTTTTATCTGTTACACTTTTAGGTATTTACCGTTAAAAAACCCATTAAGTGACACATTTCACGTACAAAATTTTTATAAAAAAATAAATAATATTTTATTTTTTAAAAAATATAAATGTGATATGTGTCACTTAACGATTTTTTTAACAATAGGTAACTAAAAATGTAACATAGAAAACTTTATACGTTTATTTCAACGAAAAATTCTTTAGACACTAAAATATTTTTCAAGACATTCTTTAGGCACTTATTTTTGTATTAAGATTTTTTTCCTAAAATCATAATGCATTTAAATATTTTTTAAAAAAATATATACACATTAAATAATTGAAGATCATCGTTAAACTAGATTCATGTTCATGTTTGTGTCTATAAAACATAATGCATGTATTATTTCTTTTTCAACATAATTTCTACGATTTTATATTTTGATCTTATATTCTTCTTATTTCGATATCTATGATGCACAAAAAATCAATCAATTGTCGACATCTTTATTGTAATAGATAAAAAAAGCATCAGTAACTTTAAAAATTACAATAGAAAAATAATTGGGTAAATTATGCATTTAGTACATAAATTATCAGTCTCGATCCATTTTAATATTTAAACTTTCAATTTTTTCAAAATTATACCTAAAGCTTAGTTTTTGTTTCATTTTAGTATCCGTTCAAAATTTAACGTTAAGTTTAGAAAAAGTATATCCTAGTATTTTATAAAAAGTACACATTTACAAAAATTAATTCAAAATATTTTTAAAAAAAAAGATTACTTCTAAAAATTTAAATTAACACAAACAAAATATTGGCCAAAAATTGAAGATATTTTATAATATAAAAGCTATACACAGTTTGGCATGAACTTGGACATAAAAATTTAACAACGTTACACAATTAAGTCAACTTCTTATTTTTTATAAAGTATGATGATCAAATTATCAAAAATCAAAATAGAAAGATTATTTTTTTCCAATATTAGTAAAGTAGAAAAACTAAGGTCAAAATTAAATCATTTCATTCATTAAATTAGCTTCACTTCCATTGAAAAAGATATTTTATTAGAACTCATTGAGTGATCTCACTGATAAAAGATAATATTGTTTTTTCTACAGATTTTGGGTTCGAGCAGTTGTATTTGTAGAGTATATGTTCATCGTCAATTGATAAAAAAAGTTATGAACAAATACTGTATTATTACTCTAGACTATTAAAAAATTACTCTATCATCTTAATACGTAATGTTTTGACCTTTTCTAATAACGTTTTGATAACTTAAATGAAATAGAAGAAATATTTATATATATATATATATATGGGTTACGATCCACTTATACCTAGCGTAAAACTAAGAGCTCAAACAGTTGGGTGATCTGATTGATAAGAATTCAAAAATGATGATCCACTTTCCATTTTTTTTATTTGTCGATTTCTGGCACTTGCCTACGTGGTAATCATAGAGATGATAATTGGTCGAATTTTTTGCCTACTCACTCAAGATATATTTTCTAAATTTAAATTTGATCGAATTTGAATTTAGGAAGGTATTATTGATACGATTTTTAGGATAAAATCCAAATATGAGTCGATCTGATACAAACATAAGTTTTTATTCGATAAAATAAGAACATCATTAATATATATAGTGAGTAATCCGAATCTACCCGTGTTGCACACTTAATTTTGATGGGTGAATCTCTCAACAGGTTTTTTGCATACACAAAAATTCGAACTCGAAATTTACTTAAACGATATCAAACTGTTTAACCACTTAAATTAATCTCTGTCGGTAGTAATTATCTTCAAACATATAAAGAGATTAAACACTCTAACTTGTTTCGCTAGATTGACTTACATTTTTTTAAAAATATTTTTAATGTCTCTTCTGAAAGTGATTTCATCGATTCAACAAAGTTTTTGTGTTGAGTAGGCGATGATCCTATGGCGGCCTGTGATTCCATTTCTTATCTCTTGAATTCTGTAATTTTTTAAATTCTGTATATAATAAGAAGTGAAATCTAAATAAGATATTTCCCATAAAAATTATGAGCCATGAACTTCAGTGTTAGTAATCCAAATAGGCAAAGCTCATCAATATAAACCACAACCCATCATTTCCACCATCTCAACCACCTTACATACACCTTGTCACTCAGTGTAGCATACATACATACATCTATATATATGTGTATATATAAGAAGAAGAAGGGATGATGATGAAGATGATGTCGAGGCAAGGAGGACATGGGGGCACAAGGTGTCAAGATTGTGGGAACATAGCCAAGAAAGATTGTGCTTACATGAGGTGCCGGACTTGTTGCCGGAGCAAAGGGTTCGGGTGTCAAACACACGTAAAGAGCAATTGGGTTCCGGCTTACCGGAGACGAAACCGCTATCATCAACAACAACAAGAAGAAGAACACCAGCGATGGTCTTCTCTCCCAAACCCTTTGCTTAGTAACCCTAAAAGGCTTAGGGAAAATTATCCTTCTTCAGGTAAAACACACTGTTCATTGCAACCCTAGCAGCTTTTGTTTCCCTTTTTCTACTTTTGGTAAGTAGTATTCACTGGTGTAAGTTGATTTGATTTTGTTTCCATTATGATGTCTGCTTTTTTTAGGGTTAGAAGTGGGGGATTTTCCAGCCCAAGTGACATTGCCGGCGATGTTCCGATGCGTTCGAGTGAGCTCCATCGAAGACGTCGCCGGCGATCAGTACGCGTATCGGACGGCGGTGACGATCGGAGGACATGTTTTCAAGGGTATCCTATATGATCAAGGACCGGATCGAGGCCATTACTCGCTCGGAGAATGCTCCTCACGAGAGACTCCTCAGCCGCCGTGGTTGCAGCTGCCGAATCAAACCGATGCCGCCGCCGCCGATCTAACAATGGCGACAACTAACACCACGACCACCGTTCTTCCTCCCCCTTATGCATCTCCTTTTAGCGCGTTCATGTCACCTGCTGGTACGCCATTTTTCCTCCACCCAAAATCTTAAGCCATAAAAACACACCCTTATTCTCTTGTACTTTTAACCATTGCAGCAGCTCATTGAAAGTTGCCATAGCACTGCAGCAGTAGGTGCATTATCTGATATATCAACCCTAAAAATCAAAGGAAAAAAAGTTTAATCAAACGATTTAAAATTCTAATAATCTTGTTTTGAATCCCCAAACCCTTCAATTATTTGGTCTTGTCTTTAATATATTAAAGAATTCAGGCAAAACTAAAGATTGGGGTTTAGCTGTTTTGTCTTCTTCTTCTTCTTCTTCTTCACTTGTTTTATTCATATTGTCACATGAACTTGAGTTTGAATCTGCATTTTCATATCTTTGTTGATTTGTTTGTCAACCCCAATGCCTACTTTTTCCCAGATTATCCGTTTCTTTGCTGGTTTAGGCACCAGCCTACCGCCGGGGTGTTTGGGTGCGGTTGCACCCTTAAAAAAATTTAAATTACTTTATATTAAATATTTTCTTTGTAATTTTATATGAATTATGGCATGGGAATCGTTCCGAGCTATAGAGCTATAAAGTATGAGCTAAGCTTAGCATATAGAATCAAAGTAATTCCTTCATAAAGCTTAGCATATGGTGTGGATTCCTCCCTATATTCTATATCTGGGATGGCTTTCTTTTTATAGTTCCAAAGATGGAGGAAATAATTATAAAACAAAACTTGTGGACGAACCATACATTTTGGTGCATATTATATATAAAGTGAATGGCCTTAATTAATTAAGAAGCTTTTAGTGTTGAATTTTTTTATTAATATGAGATAAGTATAAGTCAATATCTCTTTAAATATAACTTTCGATCATTTGACATTAAGCGCTCTCATTTTTTGCATTCTTGCATTATTGGTGCTCGAATTCGGGATCTCAATGAATAATAACAATTTCTTTATTAATGAAGTCGCTTGGTTCGTTGCTTTTTAGTGTTAATTAAATATTATAAACCAACTAGTTGCTTTAGTGGTACAGTGTACTAAATCTTTTAAGTAAGATCAGAGTTTGAATCCTGACATTATGAATGAAGTAAACTAGGTTAGGAAAGTTACGGCCCCACCCATAAATGAATCTATGTAATACTTGATTCGAATTATTCAATTAATAGAATAAATATCGATAGCTAAATTAAAAATAATACTCATCGAATGAACTGACTTGAACCTCGAGTTTAGTTCTAATTTATTTATATTTTATAATTAATAAATTTTTGAGAAAAGTACACAAATAGTCCTCAGGTTATAGGATACTATCTTATTAAGTCTATTGACTATTAAAAGTTATAAAATAGTCATTCAACTACATACTGTTGCTTTGTTGAGTTCCTCGACTATTAAAAATTATCAAATGGTCACTCGACTATTCATTATGTTTCAAACTCGTTTTTTTCCGTTAAAATTTTGATGGTATTATGAGATGAACGTTAAACTGTTAACTGTGATAGGATAAAATCTGATCCTAAAATCTCAAACTACTATCATATCTCAATCATCATGTTAACATTCAACTTAGACAACCGCCAGTTTTTTTTTTATACTAAAAATGACAAGTTTTGAACATAATTAATAGTTGGTGATCATTTTGTAACTTTTAATAGTAGGATGACTCAACACAACAACTGTCTATAGTCGGAAGATCATTTTGTAACTTTTATTAGTCGAGAAACTTAATAAAGTAATATCCTATAATCGAGGGATCATTTGTGTAATTTACCCTAATTTTTTTTATCTTTCAAATTCATTTAAAATTTTGTAGCCTACATAATATAATGCATATATACAATAAACACATGTTTCGTCAACATATAAAAAGCTTGATATCTTTAAAGTAAGATCGAAGATCGAAGTCTTTTGACGGTAAAAAAAAGGGAACTTTTACTAGGGAAGTAAATATTGTGAAACAGTGAGAGCTCTCAAATGTGTGTGTGATGTGATTAAGACATTTACTTTGTATCATTTGCCTTTGAAAAAGGGCTATGATATGAATACTATTTTTGAGAGCAATGTAAGGGAAATGTGATAAACCCCAGCATTTACTAACCTAACCTACAGCAATAGTGTGAAGAGATCATGTCTTGGCCCTTTTGCTAGGGTAAAAATGAATAAATTAAACAGAAGATCATTAAACTATGTTCAAATAATTGTTTTGGTCAATATATTTCTCTTGTAATTCTCATTACTCGAATTATAATATGATTTTCTACTCGTATCGAAAGGGATGAATCACAATAAGTTAACCAATTCATTACTTTTTTTTTAAACCAAAATTGTCACCATAAACCACCACATCACATACATTAATTTATCGTATCATTAGAAATAAAATTAAAACAACATGAATCAATTGACCTCAGTGATTACATGAATCGTTGTTGTTGACCTAAAAGTCATGGGTTCAAGCACCAACAACTGTAGCAGAGTGATTGAGCATCAATTTATGATGATATGTCATTATTTAATTTAATGATTGTAATGCACACCATTATAAATCGTTATCACATCAAGTATTAACCCTTAAAAATTGATCTTAGACCCCTTGGTTAAATGAAAAAAAAATTACTTGTTAGCACCTCAAAAAAATTATAAATTCAACGAAGTCCTTTGAAGTATATATTCAAGATAAAAAATTAATTTTTTTTGACGTACCAAATTTTATTTTATATATTTATGATTCATTTTTTAAAATATTTTTATTTGTATTTATACCCCTAAAAGCAGCTCAGAGGTCATTGATGGCAAATGGTTAAAACCTACAGATTCTGGTAACCAGCCTTCCCTTGATTCTGCAGGGTTTCACGGGCAAAGACTTTTTTGATTTATTATTTCATCTGAATTCATCAGAATCTGCACAATTTAATTTATTTATTAAAAATAATTACACCCATTAAATTTTGGATGTATAAGTCTTTTCTGAATTAAAAATATTTTAAACATAATTGTCGGTATTTAATCTATTAATGTAGATCGAAATTGAGTCTTGTATATGTTCTTTGTATAGATATTTTTTTTTCAATCTAATTTTTTTATTTATAATATTAGAAGTTGTATTTATAATTTATTCAAAAGATTTAACGTCTCATTCCGTTAGAGTTTAAAATAATTGAATAGCTAAAAAAAATATTTTTAATAATTGAATCGCTTAAAAGAGTATAATAATTTATTAAATTATTTTATTTTACAATAAGTAACCTTTTACAATTCATTATAAAAATATTTTTTTTAAAAAAAGGTTCATTCTCAAGTGGACTATCAATATATCAATATGATTATTTTTAAAATTTAAAATAATGCCAATTGAACTCAAGTGACCTAAGATTATTCTTTTTAAAAGATTCGAGTTCGAATAGTTATATTATGTTTGTAGGGTGTATGTGTGTTATCGACGGATAAAAAATTATAAACATATTTAAGTATTCAAAAAAATGGTACCAATAATTAAATTTAATTAAGATAGAAATTTATAGGGAAATATATATTTAATTTATTTTTGAATAATGTATTATTCAGTCCATGGGCTTAACCACCATGGGCTAAATGATGCCTTATAATACTCTCTTTCTGTTGTTTAGATTGAGAATTAATGGGCTATGATAAAAGCCCATCATCCACTTCAACAAGACATGCAGTGTCAGCTCACTAAATCATAATTAGTATTTGTCTAATTGCCGATTTCATCCTTCTTTTTAACATCCAATAAGAATACAAGTGAATATCGTTCAATTTTTTAATTAAATTAATATCATCCAATAAGAGACACATATCATCATTTCTATTAGTGGGAAAATAAATATAGGTTAATGCTTTATTAACTCCCTCAACTTTTAAAAATTACAAAATGGTCGTCTAACTATAAAATGTTGCTTTGTTCCAAATGGTCGACTATTAAAAGTTACAAAACGGTCACCTAACTATTCATTTTGTTCCAAACTCGTTTTTTTCTATTAAAAAATTAGCATTTGTCTAAGCTGGACGTTAACACAATGATTGAAACGTGAATGTCAATTGGGATTCTAGGATCAATTATTATCATATCATAATCAACAAGTTAACGTTCAACTCAGAATACCGTCAAGTTTTTAACATAAAATAACAAGTTTGGAACATAATGAATAATTTGTTGACCATTTTATAACTTTTGATAGTCGATGGACTCAACAAAACAACACTCTATAGTAAGAAGACCATTTTGTAACTTTTAATAATCGAGGGATTTAATAAAACACCCTATAATCGGGGAACATTTGTGTATTTTACCCATATAAAAAGTTTTTATTGATGATAATATAAATCGTAAAATACTATAAGAATATATTTATAAATATTTTCAGATATTTTAACACAATTCAGAAACATGAAACAGACAAAGCTTATATGTAAAAACAAATCAAGTTTCTCAAATAATTTGTGCACACGCTATTCAGAGTTGGTATTAACAGCCGCAACAGTTGAGACCAATGGGTCAACCCCACAAACATTGCGACCCCTGCAGATTTTGTAGAACCCATTCTCTCCCCGGTTTGGCCCCCATGAGTTCTTAATGATCCATTATACCTTATCTTTCAACCGGATCGGAGCATAGCCTGTCAAACCATACCCCACCAACAGTACTCCGTGATCGAGGCGTTTAGAGCAAATGTTAGGGCAAGAAACACCCCCGATGTACGTCTGCATGAACACCGCATTTGTAGCCACTGTGCCATTGAAAAATAAACAAACAAATGAGAATTAACGATGCGAAGTGGAAACCAGTAATTCATCGGCAAGCAACGATGTCAGTCGGATGAAACCAGTTGAAATTAAGCAGGGACCTTGACGCCAGACAGAATAGTGATTATCCTGTAGGCTAGCTCCGACAGACGATTCACAAGAGAAAATTCGCCCAAAAACCAAAGAAAAAAGTCTCTAGGGTTTAATAAAATATTATAAAATCAAAACTATCAAAAAGCAGTCCACAAGCCGGACTGTTATAGCAAAAAAATCGTCTTTATTCGA